CCCTTGGTCTAGGCCCGAAACGTCAGCCTTCCTGCTCCTCTGATGCTGCTTGGCCTGCTGTGTTCATCCAGCTCTACACCTTGTTATGTCTACTCCTGCTCCTATTCTTTTTGCTCTTATGTCAATCGTTTGCATTTTGGCGGCTGGTCTAAACATCAACTTGACTGACTCAAACCAGCATTTCCTCCCTCCAGTGTCGGCCTGACAATTCACAAGGTTAATTGACCCCAAAAGTGTTGCTGAAGTGAAATGGAGTTAGTTCAACGCATTCTCACACAACAAGTGTCCATAATATACTTTCTCATTGCATTTTTTGCAATATCTGACTTTGACCATAAGACATAGGAGCAGAATTAGCCCTTCGGCCCATTAATTCTGCTCTGCCACTTGACCGTGGCTGATATTTTTCTCAACCCCATTCTACTGCCTTCTCCCTGTAACCTTTGAGCCCCTTACTAATCAAGAACCTATCTATCTATCTCTGTCTTAACGACACATAATGATTTGGCCTCCACAGCCCTCTGCATTAATGAGCTCCGCAGATTCACCACCCTCTGGCTGAAGAAATTCTTCCCCATCTCAGTTTTAAAGTGTCATCCTTTCATTCTTAGGGTGTGCCCTCAGGCCCTAGTCTCTCTGACTGTGAAATCATCTTCTCCACATCCACGCTATCCAGGCCTCTCAGTATTCTGCAAGTTTCAATCAGATCCTCCCTCATCCTTTCTAACCACCAACTGAACCCTGCTTGTTAACCTGGAGAATCCTGAAATGGGACTCCCAAGTCCCTTTGTGCTTCAGATTTCCAAAGCCTTTCCTTGTTTAGAAAACAGTCTACACCTCTATTCCTACCAAAGTGCATAACCCATGACTTTCTCTCAATGTATTCCATCTACCACTTGTCCTCAACTGTTCTGTAATGCCCTTCTAGATAATTGTGAATGAAATATATTATTGCAAATATAAATAAGAATCTCTGGGCTGTGCTTGTCTGCCAACATACTGTCCTTGAGGAGAGAAAACAAAGTTAGTATTTTGCGTCCAGTGACCCTTCTTCAGAACTGGACTCAAAACATTAACTCTCTCCAGAGACCCGCTGAGTTTCCCCAGCAACTTCTGCTTTTATTTCAGATTTCTGGCATCTGCAGTTCTTTATTTTGTTTTGCTGTCCCTGAGCCTATTGGGTCCTTTTCACAAATAAACACGGCAAAGGTTTCGAAACCATTCGTAGTTCAGATCCTTGTTCAATTGTGATTGCTTCAGCAGATTTTTGCATAGAATTACATGAACCATCCATTGTTCTGGGGGAGAGTTGTACTGGACTTGAAACGTTACCTCTGTCTCTCTCCCACCCTCTCTACAGATGCTGCCAGACCCGCTGAGTTCTTCCAGCATTCTCCATGCATGTTTCAGATTTCCAGCATCCGTGGTATTTTGCTTTTAGACATAATCCTTTTCAGTCCTTTTTGTCTCATGTGGTACTGAGTTTCTGCATTCCTAGCACAGATTTTAGCCTGTTGTCTTGGACAGCAATGCAAGGGCAGAGACAGTGAGCCAAGGCATTCTGACCTCATCACACTTCAATCTAACATCCAAGAAAACAGAGCTTTGTAATCATGACAAATTTAGACCGTTTTGTTTATTTTTCAGACGAGGTGACACTCTTTTTTTGTTAAAATCTCGATTGAAGTCCTGCACAGTAATGGGATTAAAATCTCGATCACAGAATCCGTTTCGACAGTCCCAATCCTATTCCACTGCAATTCAACATAAATTGATGCTAAAGTGGCAATCTCATTGAGAGAGATCAGAGCTACTGCTGATTTTGGAAATGAGAACATTCAGAAGGTTACAGTAACAGCAGCTCACTCAAGCTTGGGGTTGAAAGCAGATTGGTTTTAATTTTCTAACAAGCACTTCAATGCATTTTCAGATGTTAATCAATACTCCTGTGTATACTTGTTTTTTTGATGTGTTCTTATACCCTGAGCTCTGCTTTCTGAAAATACAAGACAATTATATGTTTCTGTCACTTATTTCTCTCTCCCTCGATTCAGGTACCTGATGTATGAAATATAGTCAAGATAAAGAACAGGCAATATAGCCCCAGGTTTCTGAGAAAGGCTCTCTTCAGTCAGCTTCAAGGGTAATTCTTTTCCCCTTTTTATTCATGGGATGTCAAGTGTCAATGGCAAGGCCAGTATTTGTTGCCCATCCCTAAGTGCCCCTTGAATTGAGCAGCCTGCTAGTCCATTACAGAGTGAAAACTGAAAAGAACTATGGATGCTGCCAGCCTTGCTGAGCTTTTCCAACAATTTCTGTTTTTGAGTCCATTTCAGACAGCATGATAGCCGTGGGTCTGGAGTCACATGTAGGCCAGACCAGGTAAGGATGGCAGATTTCCTTCCTTAAAGGACATGAGTGAAGCAGATGGGTTTTTACAACAATTGATGCAAGCTCCACGGTCACCATTACTGAGATTAGTTTTGAATGGAGCTACTGCAGTGCGACAGGGAATGGAGACCAACTTTAGTGGCAAGATGCAGTCAGGATCCCAGCTCTTGCCCTTTCCATAAAACTGCAAGCTGCAGGTCCATCATACTGTGGCTCCATGCTAATCCTCAGTTATCTTTCACAACACTGCCAATTTGGTGGAGAGACACCTCTGTATCAGCAATCCAGCACCTTAGCTGCAATGAGAACTAATAACCTGGAAATAACAGCCTAATGATGACCATGATTCCATTATCGATTGTCAGGAAAAACCCATTTGGTTCGCTAATGCTCTTTAGGGAAGGAAATCTGCCATCCTTACCCAGGCTGGCCTACGTGTGACTCCAGACCCACAGCAATGTGGTGGACTCACTTACTGCCTTCTGGGCAATAAATGCTGCCGAGCTAGTCATATCCACATCCCCTGAATGAATAAAAAAACCCAAAGCAGTGATCTTGACATGAGCGAATACCTTGTGTTCTAATAAATTCACCTAA